TCACCACATCCCTCTCCTGGCTGACCCTGGAGCTCCCCTTGGAGCCTACCTTAGGCTCCTGGCCGCTGGGCTAGAAACTCTTTCCTGCTGGCCCTCACTCTTCACTTCTCAGCCCTTGATGCGTCCTCGGAGTCCCCTTCAGGCCAGGTCTTCCTGAGCATCTCCTAAAATGTCAATGCTTCCTCCTGCACTCCTCTTTCTGATCTCGCCTCCCTCTTCATCTTCCTAGTGCTCAGCAGTACCTAACACAGGGATTCCACCCATTCACCTTGTTATCCTTCTCCCCGACTTGCACAGAAGCTGCATAGGCAGATTCCTGTCTGTCCAGCTCTCTACTTGGTCCAGGGCCACAGCAGTTCCATGGTGCAGTGGAGGACTGAGAAGTGTTAGGGAAGTAAAAAGACCCATGGGGACCTATAAGGGGTGGGCAGCAGAGACACAAGAAAGACAGGACCAGGCAAGCAGGAGCAGTGTTAGAGATGTCCTCCCCCAGGGCAGAGAGTGATGAGGAGAAGCCAGAAAAGGGTCAAATGCAGAGAGGGGAGGGGACCTGGAGCCACAAGGCCAGGGAGCTGGGGTTCTAGAAGGCAGTGGTTATTGGACACCAAACTGCAGAGCAGGACTCTCCAGAGAGACCAGGGCAAGTTTAGTGAAAGAGGTAGAGAATGGGTATTGTCATCACCCTTCATGGGAAGACACATAGGACAATGACCTTGGAGGGCACCTTGGCAGAGTCTATTAAGTAACCTATACTGCAGAAGCCAGTTGTCCTGATTCTAAATATCTTTCTTGTTTTTGAAAAGACTGGGACAAGAAGGCATACCACATTGTTTTCTGTCTGTGATGTTCTTGGTAACTGTGAAAATTAGGAACAACCACAAAGTAACATGGCTAAATGAATCACATTACATGCATCATGTTAAACACAGCACAGCCAGGAAAAATAACTTGGAAGTCCTACATGTATGGATGGGGCTAGGTCACTATGCATAGTGTTATGAGAATTAAGCATGTTCTTAAGTTCCCTGTACACATGACCTCACTTCTGTTGAAAAAGAGGAGTGGGAAGGGGCTGGGAATGTAGCTCAGCAGCATGAGCACCTGCATGGCAAGTGCAAGGTCCTAAGTTCGATTCCCAGCACCAAAAAAAAAAAAGAAAAGAAAAGAAAAAGAGGAATGGGGAAGAATTACGGGGAGGTTAAATATTTTGTCCTTTTTTATAATTTTAAAGTTTTCTTTAAAAAGTCAGGAATCTGTATTACTTATAATCTAATAAAGTTTTGAGATAAAACTTTCCTTTCTAACCGGATATGGTAGTGAATGCCTACAGTCAGGAGGCTAAGGCAGGAGCACCATCATGAATTCAAAGGCCAGCCTGGGGTACACAGAAGGCCAGCTTGAACTACATAGTAAGACCCTGACTCAAAAGAATAACAGACATTTTCTCCAGCAAAAGCATTTTCAAGAAGGAAGAGGAGAAATGGGTCAGAGAGAGAGGGAGAAATTGAACCCCTGGATGTGCAGAGCTTTGGGACCTCACTGAGCACATTGGGCAAGAGGTCCAGGAGTTTTGGAGCCAAGCCTGCAGGCTGCCTCCCTCCTAGAGGTGTGTATTTTTGTTTTTATTCTTTTGTGGCTGAAGGAGACTTGAGGACAGCAAGATGCCAGCAGGTGGCTGATGTATAAAGTAAGCTCTGTGCATCGTGCATGATGACTCATCCAACACCATTGTCAAGATTCCTTAGGACAATGACAGGGACCAGGGCTTAGCAGCAGCAAGTCAAAGAGCACATGCACCCCAACTTGTCTCCCTATAGTGCACATCCCACTGCTGACCCACCGCTCACATGACAGCAAGCAGGTCTGCGTGCAGGCTCTCTGCAGTAAAATCTGCACCAAATGCTGTGTGTTACTTAGAAAAGTGATAGTCCTTCGTTGATTCCTGGAGTCAGGTTGTCTGGAAATATGCCTACTCTGTTCCAAACTTCTCAAACCTTGAGAAATTGGCAAATTTTGCTCTTTATTATCCATGAATTATAATAGTTTAGCAAACATGGCTCCACTCTGGCCTCAATGCCAATGAGACTAAACAAAAGCTTAGCAGAGAGTTCTAGGTAATTGCCTGGCCATGGCTGTGTTTTGTGTGCTATATTTCAGCTGGCAGGAGCTAGGATGAACACTTTTACACAAAAGCTGCTACTTTAGCCAAGTCACATCTGCATCATTAATGGTCTTCGGCATCACATCTATGCTGAGGAAGGAAAGGACCTGTCTCCACACCTTGGGTTCCTCCTTATCATCCTTTAAACTCCCACAGATGGTGTGCAGTTCCTCCAGCACTGAGGGGACAGAGCCTTTTTCATATACCTTCACTGTGTCCAGATCCCCCTTGAAGAATGAGGTGCCACTCCAAAGAGGCAGGCACTCTGAGGGTGGCTTTACAGCTTTGAGTTGATTGATGCTGGGGTTTAGCTCTGTCTTTGCCCATGATTTGTCTTGGAGAGTGTATCTGTCTGACCTTTCTTTGAATAGCCAGCCCCACAGCAGCTCCGGGAGACCGGGTGACCCACTGGAGTGGTGGTATTTGGCTGAGCTGCGGGAACTCCAGGGCTGCTACTGCTTTGATCCCTTAAGCTTCCCTGGACACCCCACAGCCAGGCTTGGTACATCCTGGACCGATGAGAAGGAGACTCTGTGGCAGTGTTCACTCTACTATAAATCCGACTTGGGTCACTCAGGCCCACAGATCAATGGTCACACCCAGCCTCATTCTGCATTTGTTTATCTAGGGAGCTAAATTAACACTGAGCATCTGGGGGAGGGCACCATGGCACTGTGGTCAGGGAGGAAGGCAGAGGCCCACAGAGACTACGAAAGCCTGTGCCTTGCAGCCCTGGAAGTGAAATGAAGAGAGGGTCCTCCTAAGAGGATGTTTTCCCACTGGACTTCATTTACTCATGGATGAGGGAGACCCCATTATGTACCACTGCCACCTCCATAGGGTGAGTTATTGGTGGATCCTATTTCTTAGCTACACTGTGCCTTGGAAGAGCAACACTGTCCCCCTAAAACAAGCTCCAAACTTAGAATGGTCAGAGTTAGACTGGATGTTAAGGGTAGAGTGGTCACCCCTGGGCCCCAAGGTGGGGGTGTAATGTGGGGGATGGAGATGTTTGCTCCTGATATCTTCCTGTCAGATGGAAATCCTCACCCCGGAAGTGTCTTCCAAAGCTGAAGGTCACAGAAACCAAGTTCTACTTCCCCACCTTCAGCTGCTCTGTCCTGGGGTCCCACAGGGAACATGTGACTCAGAAATCTCTGCTCCTAACTGCTGTGGGTGTCCTTCTTAGCAGCTGCCTTTTCCCCCAAGGGACTGTGTCATGGAAACAAATCATCAGTCCAAGCTCAGTGCCTTCTTTGAAGGTGTTTAAGAATGAGACACTGAGACAGGACACAATAACATAAATATGCCGAAGAAAACAGCGCAGACATCTTCAGAGAGAAGATTTGCTGACGGAGGTCAATTAGGACCACCACTGGGTGCCCATGGAGTGCTGTGGCGTTAATGGAGACCCTCAGCGGGTCTTTCTGAAGTTTCTTTCCAGAAGTGAAATTAAAATCACGCAATTAAAATGCTCACAGTCGGGGTTGGAGGTTCTTGAACTGATTGAGGAGAAGAAGTGGACACACTAACGTTTTGAAACAGCAATTGTCTCTGTAATTAAATGCAATTAACTGACATCAATGTCTGCTTTTCTCCACCCAAGACTGATTGAAACACTCAGACCTTAAAAACACATCCCCCGCCTGATTTCGCTCTGTCCCAACTGAGGTTATCAGCAGCCTTTGCAGATGTTGAGGGCAGTGATTCAGCAGCCCAACTCCACAGCCCGTGTCTAAGATGAACATCCCAAGAAAACTGGGGAACAGCTCCCTGGAAGAAATAGGCCTACAGGCTGTGCAGGCCGCACCATCCCTCCTCACTGCGTGCCTGGCATTTCCACCATGGAGGTGAAATCTAGCCATTTGCTGTGGCTGATCTCTAGGCAACAAAGGAGCCATTGGATAGAAGTGGTAACCAAACTGCAGATTCCAAAAGGGAGAAGAAAAAGTCAGACCATTTGCCTTTTTAAAGAATTTTTTTTCCTGATGATGGTAGACCGTCTAGAAAATGCTGAAAGAATAAAGAGACAAAAAAGTTTCACATAATCTCACCATAGAGTGATAACTACAGGATTTTTTTCTTCTTTCTTACATATACTTTAATTAACATTTGATATATATTGGATATATATTTTAATGTGTATCCTGAGTTTGTGTTTATATTACACATATTATTTTTGCTATTTCAGATGTTTGTAAACATTTTTAAATGTGCAAATAAAATCTCATCGTAGGAACACACCACTGTTTACTTGACTATCCTTTTATTATTTTAAGTCATTCATAGAATTTTGCTATTTTAATAAGGACATCTTCTTGCAAAAATCTGCCACTATTCCTGATTTTTTTTTCCTTATGAAATTTTCTTTTAAGTGCAGTTTCCTGGGCCAAACACTAGAATTGGTATTTTTTGCTTATTTCCTTGTTTGTTGAGATTTTGGGGTTTTTCTGATAATTGCTTTTCAGAAAAGCTACTAATTATATTTCCACCAAACAGGGCAAGCAGTTTCCTAGTCTTTGCCTCCCCTCACATGGAGCACGGTCTCCAGAAGGTTAAGCCTTTGAATAGTCTAATCACCCTTCCTAGAGAAAGATCACTGTTGAGCCTAATGTGACTGGGGTGATTCCCACCCGTGACCCAAGTTGTGCATGCATCTAGTTGTGCTTCTGTGGGAAGGGGAGGGTACATGGGGACCAGTACCAGGGAGTCCTACCAGGTGGTGACGTATAGCCAGCAGGGTGTACAGAGCACCCAGGTTGCTGAGTCCAGGAGGACACTGACACATCAGATTAGTTGAGGCTGTCTCCATGTCACAGCCTCCCTCTCCATTTTCCAGCTGTGTTGGCCAAAGATGGACATAAGGTCACCCTAGAGAAGACAGAAGAGTGGAATGTGGTAGAGCTCATAGTGAATGAAGAAGTCGTCTTCCAGTGCAATATCACAGACTTGGAGTTCGGTAAAGCCTCCTTTGCATGAGCTCTCTGGCCCTTTGCCTCTTCCAAGAATCCCCCTACTTCTGGTTCAGATGGTCACAGTGTCATGCTTGGCCTCATGCTGGGTTTCTTTCTGAATTCTCCTTTCACACCAGAAGCGCCATACTGTAGCCCACAGAGGAGATCTGAGACCACACGCAGTAGACCTTGTCACTTTGACCTCTTCCCAAACTCTGGAAACAAATGAGGGAAGAAAATGAAGTTAAGCCCTGACTTCCAATAGATGATGGAATTTGATGATAATTGTTTTTCTGCACTTTAATAATGTGTGCTTTATTATTATCTGCTTTCAGTGTCACTTTTGTTCCACCAGTTTGTTTGGTCCAGACTTGCCAAGAACATTAGAGTCATGTGCCTGCCTTGTGCAGCAGTATCTGCAGTGTTCTAGGAGTTCCTGTGCCCTGGGGGATTTCTTGCCTGGCAGGATGGCATGCACATGCCTCCCCATGCTCAGAAAGAAAAACTTGTGCCACCCATTTGAGGCTGGCTAGCACTGTGCATTCCTGGGGCCTTGGGAAATGTACGCCTGGTGGAAGCCCCAGGTGGATCTCATGAAACATCAAACTATACAAAAGTAGTTCTTTCTGTTTCCCTAGGAGGTGATGGCAAACTGGACCCACTGTGCGAAGAAGCCAGGAAATCTGTGTTAAATGCCTACTGATCTCCTGTGGGACAGACACAGATGACCATCAGCGCCTACTGGTTCAGGGACACTGGGCTGTCTTGGTCAGAAGGAGGCAGCGCTGGCCTGCTGCACAGCCTGGATTCCCATCTGGCTGCACAGGGGCCCCCCAAACAATAAAAGCACATTGTCTGCAGCATCTCTCAACCTCAACCCACAGGGAGAGTCTCCAATATCAGGTACACATTGAGCTGAAGGAAATAATAAAATGCAATCTAATAACAAAGCACCATGCCTTACTAATAACACCTAGTTGCCAGAAGCATTCAGAATCCCATTCTACAGTAAGCAAAGAGCCAGGAACCGGTGAAATTAAAGAGCAGTCAGGGTGGGGGTGGAAATTCAGGCCTTTGAAAATCTGATTCAAAAGTCAATGTCAGTATAGTACTTAGAAGCCCCGCTATTCCTACAGATAATTATTTGTTGCCACTAGAATAAATACTTAAAGTTGCTAATACAAAATTTGCTGAAATCAAACCTTCAATTATCTTCTTTTAAACAAGAAAAGTGTCTTCCTTCTTTTGCATTGGCCAGTCCAACAGGAAGCTCTGCAGAGAGCAGAAAGACCAGAGCAGAAGCAGGAAGTGGCCCTGCCCCTTTGAGGAGGACAAGGGAGGACTCGGCCCTGTGCAAAGGGGCGTTTAGTGCAGGCAGGGTAAATCAAACCAGTCATATCGGTTCTTTTTACTACCAGGCCCTATGCTAAACTGTAGTCTGTATTCTGAATCTCAGCAAGAAGAGGGGAGAGACAGATAGGGATCTGATGATGGCAAAGATGAGGTCACCTTAACAAGGCCTCACTCCTTCGAGAAAACAGATGGGTCCCACCACCCCACACCCAAGGAGGCTGGAGCCCTGCTGAAAAGTCAGGCTTGCATAGCCACCTGGGAGCCATGCCCCTGGGGAGCCACCTGGGGGATCATCCTGCCTACTGCTCAGGCAACCTCAACCCTCCTGCACCCAGAACTCCAAAGTCCAGCAGGAACCCCAGGAAGCCGCTGATATGCCTTTTCGCACCTGTGATGAAACAGAAGGATTTCCTTCTGTTTAGGATCACTTAGAACTCTTTAGAAACAGCTAATTGGCTGTTTAGGAGTCACTCCTTCTGTTTAGGAGTCACTTAGAACTCTTTAGAAACAGCTAATTGGCTCCTTGTGGAGAAACTGAGGCTCCAAGAAGTTCTTTCTTCTGTATCTGCTGTTGGATTTCATGTCTCTAACAACCCAGAATCTAGTCCCTTTTAGTCAAAGACCAGCTTCATTACCTCATGGTCTCATTTTATCTTTGTTTCAATGTACACATGTTGGTACAAGAGAAAGACAGTTTCATTAAGGAACAAAGGAAAAATACAGGTTATGATAAAAGGACAAGTTACATGGACTTTTATATACGTCACATTGGATTCTCCTATTATGTCTGAGTGTTCATAATGAGGTAGACATGCAGAAACAGACCCTGCCTGCCTGGAATCACATTATCTGTACACAATCTTTTACCTGTTTTAACTTAGCATTTTGTGTTGAGTTGCTTCCTAAGCAGCTGACTGGCTCTCTAAGCTCCCTACCTTGAATCAGGAAACTCCTTCCTCCCGTGCAGCGATCCCCACGTTCCCTGGCAACAACTTTTCTGCTGAGAACTACGCCTGCCTTGGGAGTGGTGGTGTCAGCCCTAAGGCTGTGCATCCCAGCTCCTCCCCTGGGGCTTTGCAACCTCTCCAGCCCCTTGCTTTCCTCCAGTGTCCTCCACCCCAAACTGTCTTTGTGTCCTCAGAGGAGCCCCCTCCTCCCCTCCCCCGTCAGGACCAGAACCTACGGGCGGGTAAGGCGCTAGAGGGCAACAGATTGTAAGAGAAGACTTCTGTGTTGAGATGCCTGTGCCCAGGGCTCTGAGCTTTCATTTAGATCAGAGGCAAATGTTGTCTGAGCCTGTGTTACTGGAATAAGTGCCAAAGTCACTTCTGGGCAATGGGGTTGGAGAAGCGGGTGGGGTACAGAAAAGGGAAGTGCCCACTGGGCTCCATCTCATCTGCACTGTAAATGTTCTCTACAGAGGGCTTGAGTTTGACTTTGTGTGCTGGTGCTGGGCTTGACTCTGTGTGAGTGTGTGTGTGTGTGTGTGTGTGTGCATGTTGTCTTAGTCCATTTTGTGTTGCCATAATAAAACCCCTGACACTGAGGAATGTATGAAGATGAGAAGTTTAGTGGCTCATCATCCTGGTGGCTGGGACAGTCAAGTTGCTGGCACCAGCCTGCGGTGAGGGCTGCCTACACCTGCTGCCCGTCAGTTAACCCTCTAAAACCTATTGAACAATGCCATGATGAGGTGTATACATGAGAGCTGTGCCAAGATTCAGTTCCCCAGGTGAGCTGCAGGATTTCAGCATGGGGCCTGGAGCAGGGGAAGGACCGTGAAGCGACTCTGGTGTCCCCAGTGGCAAAAGCCATTCCCTGGGCTGGGCTCCTGGCAGTGTGGGGGGAAGCTGCCCCTCCTGCTCCTGGCTGTGTGGGCAGAACAGGGCTACAGGGAAGGAATAGCTCAAGTGACAACATGCACAAAACCTCGTGTGCCAAGTTTCCGGGAGATGCACACCAGGTGGCCAAGCCCGGATGAGAGAAGGGAAAATGCCAGCTTGGGGGTCTGACAGAGGGCACAGAGAGAGGCTCTTCCCAAACTGTCTGGACATGTAAAGGGCCCCTGAAAGAGCACATTCAACCAGGGTGTAGTGGGCACTCTGGTCCTGCTCCCTGAGGGCGTGGCCTGCAGAGGGAGCTGAGCGAGTGTCAGATGATGGGTATACAGCATGGGGTGCCACAGACACTCCCTGGGGGGGCCCCAAGCAGGTACCAGGCTCACAGGGGCAGCCACTACTCAACTCCAGAGCCACTGTTGCTGGGGGGAGGAGGCAGGGCCGGTGCTGTCAGTCTTCCAGATTTTTCCAGACCAAATGGAAATCTAGACTTCTATTTTTACTGTTTTGGGGTGCAGAAGGTTGAGGCGAGGACCTCATGTATGCTAGGCCTGCATTTTACCACTGAACTACACTCCATGTCCCACAAACTTTTGACTTTACAGTGTTGTCCAATTTTTTTTTTAAAGCACAGTGGCAACTGAAAACAAAGATACATCCATGGCTCACTAGGAGGGTGAGCCCTGTTTTTGATTGCTTGGGACCACTCTGGTGTACACCTTTGCTCTGGTTGTCCCTGTTCCCACAAGTTCCATGGTCACCTTCCCGGGAGGACCAGCTGTCTAAAGTGGTGCTGTGTGCAGAGGATTCCATTCCGGTGAAACCAAGTCACCCAACCATTTGGTTATGCAAATGAGAAAGCAAAGACTGTTTGCTGGTCCCTGACATGACGGCTGAGAGGCTGGGACCCAGAAAGCCTCATTGTTCCTGTGACCAGGGTCAGGAGGGCCCAGTTTAGGCAGAGCTACATGGCCTGATCACATTTCCTGATGGGGAACGCCCTGAGTGAGGAATTGGACCACGCCTGCAGCTTGTCACAGACCATGAGCTGAGACCTGGAGGAGTGAGGAAAGGTGTAAGTCCTAGCCCCTTCTTTACACAGAGTGGCAGGCTGGGGACCTCAGACTGGTGTCCCCCAAAGAGCATGTTTAAGACCCACACTTCTGACTCAAAGAAGGCGCTGACACTGCAGATTTAGGCCCTGTTGCTGTGGTCTGACAACATCTGGGATGGGACCCATGAGTCTCCATCTGTAAAGTGTGCTCTGGCTGACTCTGCAGTCTGCACTCTGCACTCTGAGAGACTCGGCTCCAGGACGTCAGGGCAAGGCCCTATCCTGTAGGCAGAGGTGGGCGTGGGCCCCAAGGGAAGTGGAGCTGTTCCTAGCAGGTAAAACGGGAGCATTTTCCCCTCTGGGCTTCATGTTCTTGGGCCAGGATTCCAGGGAGGTGGAAAGGTTTGGTAATACTTTTGTGAGAGGAAGAGAGAGCTGTCTCTGAAGCTTGGGGTAGTTTAGGGGGAGGCTGGCACCCATGTACCTGCCCAATTGTCCTGGGCCTCCAGCCAGCTCTTGCTAACACAGCAACAGCAGTGAGGTGCGGTCCACTCTTCTTCAAGGTCTGTACCTCTTTCTGGTGTGCAGGCAAAGGCCCCTAGGAAGTAGATGTGAGGTCCCAGGACTTGCTGGAAGGAAGTCAAGTACAAGGAAGCATCTTGGAGCCTGAAACATCATCAGGGTGCACAGCTTCCACCACTCCCATCTGGAGAAGGGCTCTGTGGAGGGTGTGGGCCTGTCCTTCCACCACACATGAGAACACTTCTGAGCAAACTTGGGATGTATTGCTAATCTTTCCCTTGAAGCAAGAAGAGCCAGGCAGCATCTGGATTATGCATATAAAATTATTTGCCTTTCTCTACTTATATATTTATTAGGACCCATTTTTACATTAATGAGTCTTTTTCTTTAGATGGAAAACTATACAGACTTGTATGTGCCCTGCAATGGGTGGTTGTAGGCAGCGCTTCCTGAGGGAAAGGAGGGCAGCTGGTGGAGACAGGGTATCTCCCTGAGGACACAGCCCCTCTGCTGTTCAACCTGCAGACAACTTCCACAGAGACCAAGGGAACCTTTATTTCTGCTGTAATCCCACCTTGAGTAGGGGAACTGGCTTGACAACCACATTTTATATAAAGTGCTCCTTTTTCTATTAACTTTCAAGCTTCAAGTATATTTCTGAACAGCTATAACCATTGTGCTACAAATTCTTACCCAAATGGGTGAAGGTTTTTCATGGCTTTAAGTCCTACCGTTGACCTGGGCCTGACCCTACACACATACCTTCTGGTCACCCCAACTTGCTCATGTTCGCTCACAGCAGACCTCAGCCTGCCTTCTTTGTGTCCACTGCTGCCAGGCCTGTGAGGTGACAGAATCCACACCTCCTCCCCTCCTGGAAGCCCTCTCTGTCCCACCCGTGTATCACTTTAGCCAGAGCCCTATGGTACATCATGGTACTGAGTTCCAGCCACCAGGCACATATTTCTGGAAAGAAGAAGGGAGAACAGGAACGGTTTTCCTCCGCCCTGTTAAGAAATCTCAGAAGCGCCATGTGATTCTCCATTTGCAAACCTTGCCACAAAAGGGCCTGGAGGTGGAGATGTGCACTACTCAAACACCTTGCTAGTGAGGCAGGTGGAAAGGAGGAGAGAGGGAAGTGGCCTGGAGGTCAGCCACGTGCATTCGAGGGCCTCAGCCGTCA